GGAATATTATCAACGAATTTTTTTGCCAGTGTCCATGTTGCTTATCAAGCCGATGGTCCTTTCGGCTTCTACGAAACTAATTGTAATAAAGTAAAAGTAAGTAAAGCTATCCCTGTAACAGGCCGTGAAGGCCCATAGGGTTGTGAGACGTTGAGGGTCCTACATTATCTAGACAATCGGCTTACAGATGGCGGTAAGGTTGTCAGCCTTACGCGCCGGTCGCGCTTTACTCCCCAGGAAAATTATTTAATTAATTCCTGGTACTCATTTCTGTCAGAGGCTGAGTCGACCCCAGGGCCATAGTGCGGCTGGAAGGATTAGGCCAATTGAAAAAGTTCCAATGACCTCATCGGGACGCGAACCCGCGACCTTCCAGCTTGTAGCGTTGTACCTCAACCAACTTCGCTACCGCTCTCAGAATCTAAAATCCTACATAAACCTACATTGTCAACTTCTTTACTCTATCGAGTGCACAGCCAGCTGCTCACGCTGCTTCCTCGCTCTCAGATTCGTCTACCCTGAAGATGGAGGCGATATGTTCCTCCGAAACTTCGGTTTACAGAAGATCTACAAGGAGGTGCATCTCAGAAGACGGCATTCTTAATAGTTACCGCCGTGAAAACCTTATATAAAATTGTTTTCTACCTACACTTCCTTACTGCCGTCAGTAAAAGATTCTGTGTTTTCCTTAATGTATTTAACTTATTTTTCACTAGATTTACATTCATAAACATAAAGCAGACGCAGATGTGTTCCATTCATTTGCAGTTCCACCTGATTTTCTTCGACTTCCTTCAACGTGATAAATTAAAGAATGTAACTGATAATTCCTTGTTTTATTAAGACCATTTTGAATAGGCAACGTGTCAGATCAATACCTACCTCTATATACTGAACCATGCCGGTCATTTCTGTCAGAGGCTGAGTCGACTGTACTGTCTTCGCTCGCTCGGAAACCGGGATCGTGGGTTCGAATCCCACTCAGGGCATGGATGTTTAGTTTGTGTGTGTGCGTTTTTCTGTGTTTGTGTACATGTAGAGGCCTTGCGACGAGCTGATCACCCGCCCAAGGAGTCCTACCGAATGTGTAAGATCTATAAAAACCGAAGTGAACGGAGAAGTTCATGGAGGTAGGCCTAGGCCCACTGGGGCTGTAGTGCCAAGGGGGAAAAAAATATACTGAACCATAGGTTTCATTTAAACACATTTTTATTAGGTTTCGCAAAATACATTTAGTTTTTCCTTGTTTGAAATTTTGAAGTTGACTGCAAAATTAATAGTTATTCAACTGGGTCTGTATACCTCCAGTTCTTCCCACATCAGTGCTTGTGCCTCTTGCATCCATGTAACTGTTGGGAATTTCCGACTCTTTGTTTTCATTATTTCAACTCTCACTTGACAAAGAACTCTAATAATTTTCTTTCTGTACCCCACTCAAACAAATTTTATGATTATGCATCTTCCTACCATTTTCATTACATTTATTGCATGCAGTTCACAATTAATAAGAGAAATATCACACAATATAAAGCTAATCACGTCTATGCGTTATTAGAAATCCTGTTTTAATCGAAGAAATTTTCTCCACTCACATGAAGTATCGGTACCGATAATAAAATATATACGTAAATTTTAGGTTTTTGGACTTTATCTATCGTCCTGGTTTTAAGATAACTAAGAAAAACACGACGTTTCGGAAACTGGATCTATTTCCGTCCTCAGGTGAGGGAAAAATACCTATTCTCTTGGGTCCCTTAAAAAGAGGTAGCCTCAAACACTGGACGAATCCTATAGTAACTACTAATATAAAATACGTTTCGAATTCCTGCTGCAGGCACAAGAACTGATCCGGGAGTCATACTCGTTAAATACAGTTCGATAGTCGCTAAAGCTGAGTCGGATGTTATGTTAACATGCATAACATCTGATAGTGTCAACATTTGAATCACGTGTAAGCTTAAACATTTATATTACGTCAAAGTTAATATACTTATCCCTCGCGTAAGTGTTAATATTTTTTCCACATGCTAGCGTTAGCATTTGTATCACGTATGTGTTGATATTTACACCACCAGTAAGTTTAGACAATTATATTATGTGTAAGTTATCAACTTTAACACGTGTAAGTTAACACATATCACGTATTGAGTTTTAAAATTTATATTACCCATTAATGTTAATATTTGTATATTGTGTGTTAGTGACTCTATCGGGTGTAAGTGTTGACACATCTTATGTAAGTTATATCACGTGTTTTACCTAATATGACGTTTAATTCAATATATAAATCACGTGTAAGTGTTAATAGTTACATCACCTGTAAGTGTTAATGTATTTTCAATAACTTAGCATTTTACACTATATTTACTTATTTTATCGATAATAACTTCATATGAAACAGGATTTTTAGTGACCTGACCCGAGTAAGATAAAGTTCGGCCGTACTACTCTCATTGTAGGGCTGTAGGCCTAATATTCGTACCACATTTGTCGAAATCTGTGGTAAGATATATGTCTTATGCTTATCGATACCTTCCAATTGCACGTTCTATTTATGAACTCCTTACAGTACATGTGTGCCTGACCAAAACCTTTACATTTATTTTTATACGCCGTGTCTGAATAACCTGTTGAGTGTAAAGTGTCTCATTTCATTTGAGGAAGAATACTTTCTCACCTATTTGTGCTACATAGCTACGGATCGGGGACTGGCTATGAAACATTACCTGGGGGTAATTCAGCGTCTCCCATTTTAGCGTAATATCTAACATTTCTAGAGGAATCAAGTAAAGCCACGAAAAAATTTCGGCCTGCTTAATCAAAACGAATATCAACACTTCCAAATAAGAAACAGGTTTGCAAACCACTCGCGCGCGACGGTTAGTGTTTTTGTGATCAGGATTTATTAAACCAGAATGCCGAATAGAAACGTGAGGAAGTTACGATGTCCGAATTGAGGATTTTTTTTTTCTGAGGGGAATTTAATTAATTATAAGAACTTGTTGTCAGTCATTGAACATTTATAATCCTAATATTCTTTCAGTGTAACGAGTTATCCTGCTGCTCTGCGTTACTGGAAGGAAGTCAGCCTGCTTTCTGGCTTTGTGAAATTCGAGTTTCTTTCGAACTTTCGACAATACTGTGATGTCTACCGCGGTGATTCTTTCTTCCGTGATTTATATATTACTATTATAATGATCTTACTAAGTGATGTCTGCACCGGCCTGGACGCTAGAAAGACTCATTAAAATAAACCATTAAAACTTTTATCACTTACAGGTTTTACAGGTACCTCTTTAAAGTGTATATATACGAAATTTACTTTTATTTTTATGCAAGAAAACAATACCCAGTCATAAAACATCTTTGATAAACGGGATCGGTCTGCTTTTACCGGTTCTCACGGTCTCTTCGCTTGCAGATTTCTTAATTTTTTCTTCTACCCTGAAGATGGAGGAGATACGTTCCTCCGAAACGTCGGTTAACACCACATATACACGGTGCCAAATCCCAGAAGACTGCTTTCTTCGGGATCGGTATTATCTACAATGCCTGTCGCCTTAAGACTCCATAACAAATGAGTATGAATTTATAATCGCATTCCACGTTCGAAAATCGATAATAATATGCAAGTTCAAGCTGACAATGATAAATGATCAATATATCGATTAGGGAGATCATATTTCTTCTTGTATAGACTACATTCATATAGAGGGATATTCTTACACAAATTAAAGAAGTTTATTCTTGGAAAGGGCAAGAATTTAGTCTCACATTATGCTTACAAAAACAAACCTCGTGGTTTTAGTCCGCAAGCGAACTGTACCGTCCGAGCGACCGCCGATTGTCGGCGAAGTTAGTACCAACTTTAGCGGATAGAGGGTATCGCGTAGTCAGCGCAACGAATCCCCAAGGCCGTTAATTTTGGTTTTCTAGACCGGAGTCGCTATTTCTTTGAAATAGCTCCTTAATTATCCTCACGAGGCTGAGTGGACCCCGTTCCAGCCCACTACTTCTCAGAAAATCTAGGAGCGCCGGGAATCAAACCCGGATCTCTGATTCTGTAGCCAGGAACTCTAACCACTAAACAACAGAAGCTGTCTGTGTGTCTACAGCATCAGAAATGTCACTGCCATAAGAATGGATTTTAAGAAAAATAAGATAATAAGAACTTTCGGACTAGATCCTGTCCCTGTTTCCGGAGATAGAGACAAATTCTATCGACTGAGCGCAACTGGGTAGGTTCTACCTGAAGACGGAGACAGAATTCAGTCTCCGAAACGTTGTTTTGAAAAATAAATAGGACGGTGTTTCTAGATAAAGACAAGAAGATGGATAATGTCCAGAAACATAATATTTGTACTCATGTACTATCGTCACAGACTTTTGGAACCTATTAACACCATTAGGCTTCCTGGAGCCTGTCTCGTCGATTAACAAAATGTTCTGCATCGCACTAAACATTCAAAACCATGACCAAATGTTTACCGAATTTATGACTTCATATTCGGTGAGGGAGGGATGGGAACAGAAACCAATACGTAATTCTGAGAGCGGAACAGTGCTGGTTGCTGATCAGCAGGGGCTCCCAAGTGGGACCTGCAAAGGAATTGTATTCTCCAGACTGAAACCTCAACATCGGATAATTCCGGGCTGGAACCTGGCGTTTAGTTTGTCTTTGAATCAACAAGTAGACGGATATGTCTGGGCATGCAGCAAGCTTAAGGGAAGCGAGAAATAAGTTAGAAATCCAATCAGAGCGTTTTGGAAACCCAGGCGAAGATGGATCTTAGAGTAAGAAGCTAAAAAGTTTTGCTCCGAGTGGCTTCAAACCCATTTTTTATGGTCTCGGTTACAATACTCCATGAGAGTGGAGTTCGTGATGGGTGAGTTACTAATGACGGCAAAACTGTGTCACGGTCTGACTGTAAAATTGGTAGCCAAGTTATACGCCAAATCTTTATACATTTCTACCTCATATAACAAATGAAAGTACTCACATTTTCTTCTTCAAAATCGACTTGAAACGAAGAGATCAATATTGACGCGCCGCGCAGTCTCGGTACCCTGCAAATGAATAAAATCCACAAGTGAAACGAAAGAGAAAATTACAGAATTATTAGCAGAACCTTCACTTTCTTACTTTTCTCTGTTACTGGACTTATCCTGTAGGTTTCTTACTGACAGTACACGTTACTGTTCGTTGTAATTGCTGTGCCTAAGTTTCACTACTTCTGGCAGAGAAAAGGAACATCCCCTACCACGGTGTTCAGACAGACGTATAAAATGAGTTACTAGGCCTACTTCCTGGGGTTTAATTCGGATGCAGCTGCTGCCGAGGTGATGAATTACTGGAGATTTCCTACCTCCTCCCAACTGCCTTCATAGCTTGGTCTTTACGAGCACAGACAACTGTACCTCTGTGTGCTTTACAAACTGATCCCGTTGATACGGGATAGCTCATTCGGTATAGCGACTGGCTACGGGCTGGACGACCGAGGGGTCGGAGTTCGAGTACCGGTATGGTCAAGAATTTTCTCTTCTCCACGTCGTCCAGACCGCCTTTGGGGACCACCCATTCTCCTATCCCATGGGTACCGTGGATTCTTTCCTCGGGGGTATGCCGGCCGGGACATGAAGCTGACCAATCATCTCCAATTAATACGGCGGTCAAGTAAATGTGGACTTATATGTCTTGTCCCCATACGCCTTCGTGCCGTAGTGCTTAATTAGTTAAGCACAGGGACAAATTTATGTTTTTACTACCTTGGTCTGTTCAACGATCATCTCGAATTGTGAGGATATATTCCTTGTATTCCGTAAGGCGCCGTTCACGATAGCCGAGCGGTCTAAGGCATATACTGTCTTTGCTCGCTTGGAAACCGGGATCGTGGGTTCGAATCCCATTCAGGGCATGGATGTTTAGTTTGTGTGTACGTTTTTCTATGTTTGTGTACAGGTAGAGGCGTTGCGACGAGCTGATCAACCGCCCCAGGAGTCCTACCGAATGTGTAAGATTTAGAAAAACCGAAGTGAACGGAGAAGTTCATGGAGATAGGCCTAGACCAATTGGGGCTGTAGTGCCAAGGAAAAAGAATTTCGTAAGGCCCGAGGTTCCAATCTTCGTCTGGAGGACTACTGTGTTTTCTTGGTCCTCGTCTGCTTATCCACGCAAATTCCGCTGCAGCAATTCAAATACCGCCAGGACAAATTCCTTCCTCATCATTTCAAGCCCATTAGCAGTCATCACCCTGTCACTGGAAGCTATTACTGACGCGTTGTTATGATATATACAGCAGATTCATGTATTCAATATTTTTTCAAAACTGATGGGGATATTAAAATGTAAACATTTATGTCAAAAGAGTTCGGATTATTTCGGGTTCAGTCAGTAGACGGGAATATTTCTGATTTGGGAGAAATATTCTCTTAGCTATTAGCTCAAAATGGCAGGCTAAATTTGTCTGATATCAGAATCCAAGCCAAACGAATTGAGATAATCTGAATACACAAGACTTGAGGCTTATATATATTTCAGGGGGACAGAGAGGACTATCAGAATGATAAAATTATTGTCCCCGAAATATCAGTAAACTTACTTACTCATGGAGCTGAGCCCTTCTTGAGGAGCCGCCAATTCAGCAGCTACTGAAGAATTTCCCAGCATTTTATGGAACCCGAAAGTTCATTGCCGTGTTCACAAGAGCACTCCACTGGTCCCTATCCTGAGCCAGACCAATCTAATTCATACCATCCCATCCTATCTCTCTAATATTCATTTTAATATTTTCCACCACCTACGCCTTGGTCTTCCCAGTGGCCTCTTTCCTTCTGACTTTCCCACCAATATACTATACGCATATATATATTACAGGAGCAACTTTACCTATATATACGCTGTTTACATAGTCATTATTTATCAACGGGTCTACATGTTACTACTATATGTTGAATGGGGTTGAAGACCTATTTCTATCATCTACTCAACGTTCACGAGGTTAACGATACTGGGCAGGCAACTAAATATTTCGACAGCTGAACCATTAGTACCTGACACAAGTTGTTTCGACGGCGATGTTGAGATCAGAGAGGTGAAAATTTCGGGAAACACTAGGTTCTTATCAGATTCCCACAGAACTGATCTAGGCAGGTGGAGAACTTGTACATACTCAGGTTCATAACCAAAAATATATTTTGATTGAGGGCAGAACCACCACAGAAGTGGAAGGAAGCTACTGTAATGTTTAGGGCGATGAATATGTCTGCAGTTGTATGTTACAGAGGCAGACTACTGTTACGAAATAAACTCACATTTTTGTTCAATATTCTTCTTTAATTTAAGGAACTGACGGTATCGAGAACATATATAGTCAATAGCAGGATGATGGAAGAATTTGGAGTGCTAGTAGAATGAGAATTGGCAGGGTAAACACAAATACTCGGAGATCACAAGCCCCAGCGCAACGTTTTGTGCTACAAATACATGATCTGATCTGGGATCGGACACAAGCTACCAGATTCGAGGTGCTCCCTCCGCATTTGCGTGGAGGCGTTGAGGAAAAGCAAGAAAACCTCAGTCTGCATGGTTGGTGTTCCGGCCGAGAATCGAGACTTCAAGTTCAGAACATAACACAGAAGCTTTACAGCTTCAGCAAAGATTCTTGTTTCAAGAAGAATATGTTAGCCACTTCGTCTGTGATGTCTCCTGACGTTCTCCTATACTCTTTTCTTCACAGACATAGGCAATTTTTTACATCTGAGGCAGTTTATATTTTGCACGTCTTATAGAAACCAAGATCTGGCATATTTTAAAAATAAAAATATAATTGTATGTTGTGGTTGTAGGCTAGTTAGTTATTGTAATTATAACAATAATTACATATCCAAACTTTACAAACAAAAACAAATTGTCAGTACTAGTGACGGATAGGTATGAATTAACGGATATTGTACGAATGTAACAAAATTGTTTTATATTTTCGTCTATCCACATGAATAGATATTTACGTGGTAATATACGAACGATAAAGTCAAGCTTATAAGATTTTGATATTATTTTGTAGTTAAAGAGAAATATAAGTACAATTATTGTTATTATTAATTTAATACCATTATATAGACTGTCTTATTTGTATTTATGTCTTTTAGTTGTATCTGTATTTCTATGTACTCGTGCCAAANTAAAGTATATATGAATATTATCCTTTTTCACCGCATAATAGCATAACCATTGCAAATGTACTTATTTTGCTTTTCTCACCTGTTAGTAACAAATTTGATTTTTCATGTTATATTGTTATTATTATTATTATTATTATTATTATTATTATTATTATTATATAAATTACCTTGTTTTATATTTTGTTTATAAGTATGTTGTTGTTTAGATTTTCTTAGTCGTGCTAACTCTGTAATTGGCCTCTGTGCTCTTAAGTTTTCATGTAAATAAATAAGAATAGAACTGAATTGAATTATTTATTTTTGCAGTAACAGTATCTATGAACCCACTCTCCATTGCGCATTCATGGCCTAGTGTTTAATTAGTTGAGCCCAGGGAAAACATTACCCTACCTCAGCAGTACCCATTTATATGAACTTTATTGTAAATGGTGGCATTGTATGCTGTATGCTTGGGAAAATATGATTGTACAATAACATGAAAAAATAAACAAAAAAAAAACTCCGTGACTTTAGTCCGCAAGCGAACTATACCGAACGAGCGACTGCCACTTGTCGGCGAAGTTTAGTGCCAACTTTTGTGGATAGAGGTTGTCACGTGGTCAGCGCAACAAATCCCCACGACCGTTAATTTCGGTTTTCTAGACCGGAGCCGCTATTTCCTTGAAACATCTCAATTATCATCACGAGGCTGAATGGATCCCGTTCCAGACTCACCACTTCTCAGAAAAATTTTAGTAGCACCGGGAATCGAACCCGGACCTTTGGATCTGTAGCCAGGAACGCTGACCACTAGACCACAGAGGCTTTTTTACAACGACATGAAATCAGAATTTAAATATCTTTTTGGTCACGTATTTTCATTTCTTCAACCTCCCCTGGACTATACGAGTATTTGACACCAACCTATTGACTCACAATATACAAAAGAGCCCCACCGAATGTCTATAACACAAGACGATTACAAGGCAGGAGAGACCAGAATACCTAAGCCGAGTGAACAATATAAGAACGTTCTCTACAGAAATATTCCTGTAATAAAACTTCGTAGTTAATGGCGACGAGTTATGAGACCATGGAAGAGAAGAGAACGGGCATCTCGAGTTCCAGTTACTGCACTTGTGCTAGGAGGAACTTCCTGCTTGTATGGGTGTGAACTAAACGCTAAGATATCTTTATGCTTTCTTTACAGGAAACGTAGCCTGAGGATGGTAATAGACGCATGGAATACGTGCATGAAGTTGCGGTCCGAGGAGGACATTTTGGTTGGAGGGAAAAAGAAAGCCGACTAGCGGCGAAAGCAGTATACGTATAAAAGCGATGGACGATTCTCGGTTGGCATCAGCATCTCAGCTGCTGAGGTCACTTCCACAGGAACCATGAAACTACACGTGAGTATCTGTACTTGCTTCACCTTGTAGTGTTTCCAGACTTGGTCTACTGTTCCGAAATGACAATTAGCATTCGGAGAACTAAACAGAAAAGAAATTAATGCATCATCGGTAATTCGTATAACAACTTTAGCTTAATGTTTTCTGACCAACATCTCGAAAGCAAAATATTGTAGATCTTGAAGAAAGCAGTCTTCTAGGATCTGGCACCGTGTATATGTGGTGTTAACCGACGTTTCGGAGGAACGTATCGCCTCCATCTTCAGGGTAGAAGAAAAAATACAAGAAATCTGCAAGCGAAGAGACCGTGAGAACCGGTAAAAGCAGACTGTCAGACTGAAGGCGATACGTTCCTCCGAAACGTCGGTTAACACCA